ATTCAAACTTTTGGCCAGGCATGGTGGCTCATGCCTGTAATCCTAGCACTCTGGGAGGCTGAGGTGGGAGGATTGCTTGAAGGGCAGAAGTTTGAAACCAGCCTGAGCAATAGCAAGACCCCATCTCCACCCCTGCAAAAATAAGAAGAAAATTAGCTGGGTGTGGCAGCGCATGCCTGTAGTTCAAGCTACTCAGAAGGCTGAGGCAAAAAGAATGCATGAGCCCAGGAGTTTGAGGTTGCAGTGAGCTATGATGATGCCACTGCACTCTAGCCTGGGCAAAAGAGAGAAACACTGTCTCTAACAAACAAACAAAAAAACAATATTTTCCTAAAGATACACCCTTTTCTCTATTTCTCTTGTCCTGCTCCTTCTACGCTAACATTCTTAATAAGTATAAAAACATAACAATATATTTTGTTTTGCCTGTCGAAGTAATAAGCAAGGATTATCAGCCATCCTTATTTCCCATTTTCTGCCTATTCACTTTAATGCCGTCACAGAAGCAGTAAAAACTGAAAAATTACTATAAATTTACAATAGCTAATAACCTACTTGTGCCCCTATGCCAATGTAAGCCTCTTTGAATGTAGGCTTTCTTTTCTAGCTTGATGTGAGATAAAGACATTTGCTGCCAGACACTGGAAATTAGAATTTCTAATCTTAATAGCACAGAATAAATTAGAATGTGACTTCTTAAACCTAGCTTTAGATGCAATTCAGTCTTTGTTTCTCATCAATTTGATCCAACTATCAACATAATGAATAATGTAAATAAAAGTATTTCACATTTATATACTGACTTTCACCCAAGAACCTCCAACACTGCATAGAATGAGTTAGATTTATTTAATTAAATACATAAACACACACAAAATTCTGTCTGCCTTTCCATTGACTTAATTATCTTGTTTACTTTATAGTTAGGGAGGTTAATTATACCAATTCCAGAAATCTTATCAAAAAATTATGCTAAAATAAGTTTCTAAATTTTGTAATAATTATACTCTTCTTTCAAACTCTGGGAATTTATAAACACATAAAGATGAATTAAGTGTATAAGAAAGTAAAAGAATACTATACATACAAATTTATTTACTTAAAGACTAATTTTATTTTTAAACATAATAGATACTGCAAAGACTCTTCATGGGTGGAACAGAACTCAGAATAATTTAGTTCATTTTCCTGAAGTGTCAGACTTTTGGTTTTAGGTGGTACATGGACTCGTATTAGTAAAAGAATAGAGACATAGACCAGTGGAACAGGACTGAGAACCCAGACATAAAACCATCCTCATATAGCCATCTGATCTTTGACAAAGCAGTTAAAAACATACACTGGGGAAAAGAATCCCTATTCAATAAATGGTGCTGGGAAAATTGGATAGCCACATGTAGAAGACTGAAACAGGATTCATACCTCTCACAAAAATCAACTCACAATGGGTAACAGACTTAAACCTAAGGCATGAAAACATAAGAATCCTAGAAGAAAATGTTGGAAAAACCCATACAGACATCAGCCTAGGCAAAGAATTTATGAAGAAGACCCCAAAAACAATCACAGCATCAATAAAAATAAATAAATGGGACTTGATTAAATCAAAAAGCTTCTGTACACCCAAAGAAACTATCCTCAGAGCAAACAGACAACCGACCGAATGGGAGAAAATATCTGCATACTACACATCCAACAAAGGGCTAATAACTAGAATCTGTATGGAACTCAGGAAAATCACCAAGAAAAAAATCAAACAACCCCATTAATAACTGGGCAAAGGACATGAACAGAAACTTTTCAAAAGAAGATAGACTTATGGCCAAGAAACATAAGAAAAAATGCTCAACCTCTCTAATCATCAGAAAAATGCAAATCAAAACCACAATGAGACATCACTTAATTCCAGTGAGCATGGCTTTTATTAAAAAGTCCCAAAACAACAAATGTTGGTGTGGATATGGAGAGATAGGAATACTCATATACTGCTGGTGGAACTGCAAACTAGTACAACCTCTACAGAAAGTAATATGGAGATACCTCAAAGAGCTAAAAATAGAGCTGAGCTGCAGGCAATACAGCAAAGCTTCATCTGTATTTACAGCCACTCCCCATCACTCGCATCACCGCCTGAGCTCCACCTCCTGTCAGATCAGCGGTGGCATTAGATTCTCATAGGAGCGCAAACCCTATTGCAAAGTGCGCGTGCAAGGGATCTAGGTTGCACGCTCCTTATGAGAATCTAATGCCTGATGATCTGAGGTGGAGCTGAGGTGGTGATGCTAGCGCTGGGGAGTGGCTGCAAATATAGATTATCATTAACAGAGAGATTTGACTGCACAATAAATGTAATGTGTTTGAATCATCCCCAAACCATCCTGTCCCTCCCATAGCCTCCATGTCAGTCTATGGAAAAACTGTTTTCCATGAAACTGGTCCCTGGTGCCAAAAAGGTTAGGGACTGCTGCTATAATACATCTACAATTGGCCGGGCGTGGTGGCTCACGCCTGTAATCCTAGCTCTCTGGGAGGCCGAGGCGGGCGGATTGTTTGAGCTCAGGAGTTCAAAACCAGCCTGAGCAAGAGCGAGACCCCATCTCTACTAAAAATAGAAAGAAATTAATTGGACAACTAAAAATATATAGAAAAATTAGCCGGGCATGGTGGCACATGCCTGTAGTCCCAGCTACTCGGGAAGCTGAGGCAGGAGGATCGCTTGAGCCCAGGAGTTTGAGGTTGGTGTGAGCTAGGCTGACGCCCACTCACTCTAGCCCGGGCAAAAGAGTGAGACTCTGTCTCAAAAAAAAAAAAAAAATAATAATTACATCTACAATTGTTTCAGAATTGCTTTGCCCACACTACTGAAAAATATATCTTCTAAAAAGAGTATTTGTTTGTAACTCTCCTCCCATTCCTTATATCCCATCTTGCCCAAAAGAGTGTGCATTGCCAAATACTGTGTAAATCATTTGGATTAGTTCTTTCTTTTTCCCTTTAGCATGATTATTGTATTTATACGAAATAAAATTGAGTTGATTGTTTCAGTTTGAGGTTCTCTTCCTTCCATCCTAAATAATTTAATTTTTTTGCATGTGTAGACTACTGACATGATACCAACAGTAAAAACTGTATACAAAAAGCTACACTTAGAGAACTGTCACTCCTTTCCATGTCCTTTCCACTCCATTCCTTGCATCCCTTGTAAGCGACCAACTTCATTATTTTCTGATTCATTTTTTGCTTCTTTTTGTAAAGGTAAGTAGATAGTAGATACGCTTATTTTCCTTCCAGTCTTACATAAAAGACGGTATACTATATATGCTTTTTTGCACCTAACATTATCTCTGGAAATTACTCCATGTCAGTTCATACAGACCTTATTTTTTTCTTATAGCTATATAGTTAGTATTCCATTACATGTATATATCATAGTATATTTCAACTAATCTCCTATTCTTGCACATTTACTTTCCAATATTATATAGTTACATATAATACTGTAATGAATAACTCTATGTATATGTATTTTCATACTGTCGGAGATGTATCTTCCAAATAAATTCCTGGAAATGAGAAAGCTGGGTAGAAGAGTAAGCACACATGTAGTTTTCTTAATATTGCCAAATTTCTTTCCTTATAGGTTATAAAGTATCATATGTTGGTTCAAACTTATTTGGTAATGCACTGATTCATTGGAAATCCTGGTCCAACTCTTTCGGATTTCATTTGTTTGCTAGATGTAATGTTATAATGCTGGAATTCTCCCTCTCACTCCTAATAACTCTGAGTATTTTTAATATTTGTTTTATATTTTGCAAATCTTAAGAGAAGGAAAATACAAAGAAAAATAAGTTACTTCAACTACTTACTGAGTGGTGTTGTGTCAGGAGGTGGAAAATTCTCAGTAAAGTTGACATTACATAAATCTGTGCTACAACAGCAGAAACGGTATGTTCCATTCTGAATTGAGGGAGGAGTGGTGGTTACTACACATTCTTCGTAGTGACACTCTTGGGGATCTCCAATGTGAGACCAACATCCTACAAATCAATATTAATGTAAACAAATTAGGAGACAATATGATACAGAAAACTAAAAGGAAATAACAAACTAAGAAATAAGTGCAATAAATGTGAGACAGCGAGTAAACGTAAGCTATAAAACAGTTTTGCAAATCAACAGGAAACACATTTTTTTAAGAAACAAAATGTCAAAGGATATAAGACATTTCACAGGAATAAAAAAGCCATGAACAAAATGTTTAACTGCGTGGTTAACCTAAGAATTATTAAAGCAGCAGTTAAGATTTCATGTTTGTCTGCACCAATTAAATTGTTCCAGGTTTAAAAAATAATAACACACATTATAACAAGGATTCAGTAACACAAATACTCTCACACAATGCTGGAGGGAATGTAAACAAATAATATTTTTAGAAAGTCACATGGAGGCCAGGCATAGTGGCTCATGCCTATAATCCTAGTACTTTGGGAGGCCAAGGCAGGAGGATTGCTTGAGGCCAGGAGTTTGAGACCAGCCTGGGCAATATAGCAAGATCCCACCTCTAAAAAAAAAAAAATTATCCACGGTGGTACGTGCCTGTGGTCCCAGCTGCTTGGGAGGCTAAGGCAGGAGAAGAGCTTGAGCCCAGGAGTTCGAAGCTGCAGTGAGCTATGATCACGTCACTGCACTCCAGCCTGAGCAACAGAATGAGATGCTGTCTCTAAATTAATTAATTAATTAATTAATTAAGAAAGCGACATGGAAACTTTTATGTCAACCCTTTAAAATATTCATATATTTTATAACCTGCTAATTTTATATCAAGAAATCTATTTCAAGGAAACAATCACATACAAAGACTTATGTTCGAATTTGTTCACTGAAATATTATGTATTATGGTGAAACCATGAAAATAACATAATGTCCTACAATAGAGTTATCTGGAAGTAAACTTTGATTCATGTATACAAGGAAATACTGTGCACAGTTTAAAAATGTTTTCAGAGAATATTTAAAGACATGGAAAAATGCTCATGATACAATTAAAGTGGAAAAAACTGGGTATGAAATTGTTTATATAGTATCATCCTAACTTTGGGGAAAGTACACACACAAATAAACACAGAAGTATGTAGAAAACACACGTGAAGGAGATAAACTAATATAGTAAAAACAGTATATTATTGTAGACTTTTGTTTTTCTTTACAATTTTCTGTATTTTCCAAATTTCATACAATGAGCATGTATAACACTATAATAAGAAAGATGCTATTAAAATAAGCTAAAAAAAAGCCTACCTTTTATAAATTTGGGGCTTGTGGATGGATATACTTTTAAATTTACTTATTTTCTGGAGAGTATTTTAATCTACCTCCATATCCTTTTTAGGTAAATTTCAATTACATAAAAACACAAAGTCATTTAGATAAGAAAAGTAACACTTGCCTTGTTTTACGAGATTTATGTCCCCTTTAGATTTCTCCCAAAGGCCATAGCAGGTGCTACCTTTTGAGCACAATATTGTCCCATTTTCATGAGAGATTCGACTCTCACCTATCCCGAGGTCTTGTTGGTATGGGTCTTTAAATGCACATAGCCGTTCTTGATTCTGGGAAGCTAAAATATCGGAAATAAAGGAATGACAAATTAATTTTATGATAATCTTTGCAAAACATTATTGTATAACATCTTAGTCTTATTTGAATGACATTATTATTTAATAATTTCCCCATTAAATCCTTTGAATTCAAATCCTTGAATAAATTTGTAATTTTACATTTATTCAATAACTTCTTTCTATTAATTCCTTTGTAACCTCCAAACAAGAAGCAAATTTTAAAATTCATTTCCCAAAAGCAATCACCTCTTACTCAAATTATTCTCACCACTCTTTCTCTTATTAAATAATTCTGCTGTCCAAATAAAGAAATAGCATTAAAGAAAAATGTCTGCACAGTAATTTATCAAGCCTTTAAAACAAACCTGGAAGGCTGAATAATTTCAGAAATTCTACAATACTCACTTTTATCATATTTTACAGTCAGTTGTAGAAAATTACATACATCATTAGGCATGGTAAATTAATGATGCAGAGAGTGACTACAAACGGGTACATGGTTTCTTTTGGGGGTGATATTATAGATGTTCTAAACTAGTTTGTGGTAATGGTTGCAAAACTCTGTAAAGTCACCAAAAAACAAAAAGTTTCACTGAGTTGTTCACTTAAAATGAGTGAATTTCATGGCATACAAATTATAGCTTAATAAATCTGTATTTAAAAATCAAAAAGAAAATGACTTTCCATTATTTAAAGTATCAATATAATAGCCAGAAGAAGAAATGCTCAATAGTCCTTACTGTAAAGGGACAATGTAATGTAGTATGTTTTTTGTGTGTTTTTATTTTTGTTTTTGAGACAGGGTCTCGCTCTGTCACCAGCACTAGAGTGCAATGGCATCATCATAACTCACTGCAACCTCAAACTCCTAGGCTCAAGCGATCCTCCTGCCTCAGCCTCCCGAAAAGTTGAGACTACAGTCATACACCACCACATCTGCCTAATTTTTCTTATTTTTTGTAGAGACGGGGTCTCACTATGTTGCTCTGAACTCCTGGCTCAAGCAATCCTCTCTCCTTGGCCTCCTAAAGTGCTAGGATTACAGGCGTTAAGCCACTGCGCCTAATGCATTTTTATTGCCAATCTGTCTTTCCCCATACACGTGATCTGATTTAACTAATTTTTGTAGAAAATTTGCCACATAATTTATCAGATAATGTTTACTAACATTTCTGAGAATACCAAAGTAAAAGATTATTAAAAGCAACATCTGATCTTTATTTGGTCTCCTTTGGTCTCTTTTTATTTGGAAAGTAGACTTTCCTAATGTGTTTGACTCGCCAGAATAACAGTCTAGTACATTTGGCCAATGTATTCCTCGTGGGCTTCCCACGTATTTCTTTATTTGGCATGTGTATCTATTTGGTATGGCTTAATTCACAAGCACTGAGGTGATTTATTAAGATAATGTTTCTGAACAAAACTAAGAACTAAGCTCTGGAGAAGAAATGAAAGAGCCAACAACTATATGTCCAAGCCAATTCAGACACACAGATGTATCATATTTATAACAATGGAAAGTATCTTCAAAGTATTTGGCTAGGAAATACGGTATTCACAAATGGGTAATACAGGGTTCTATCCCTCAAACACTTTGGGTTAGAGAAACCAAATTGCAGACAGTAATTACTGAGAAATAAATGTGACTTGATTTGTACATTTTAAAACCACTTCAATTGGACATCATGCTATAATGTACTAAAACGAAACAAAACAAAAAACCACTTTAGGCCGTCTTCTAGAAGATATTTACTAATATCAACTAAATGGCCAGAAAATATAGTATAATCTATTTATAAAACCTAATTCTAGAATATTAGCCTAATTACGACTCTGCCATATTTTTACCACATGTACACATTCAAATTCCTTTAATGACAAGCTTCATGATATTTACTAGATTATTTTCCACATTTAACAACAGTATTTCCTTAGGTTATTCCTTAATTCGCAGATTTTACCAAATTAATTATAAAGATTAAATCAAATATATTTCTACATATAAAAAGTACTTACAATACAAAGATTCAGACTTAGAATTCAAACTACAAACAAAAAATTTGTGATATAAATCTGAAAAGGCATCTATCCATAATGCATAATTCTTTCTCCCTGTCCCACCCCATTTCTTGACTCAGGTTAAATGTTCCTTACCTAACCAGACATTGAGGCTATCTACATAACCTACTGTTTCCCTTTTTGTCTTAACTGTCAGAAAGACCATAAAAAAATTTATGAATTTAGTATCTCTAGTTTTCCATAATTAAGATATCCTAATTTTATCACCCCGCCCCCATCTTCTGTTATCCATTTTGACTAGAATTTTGGACTGAACATTGAGTTAATGAGTAGGAATCTAACTGTTACTGAAAGTAGGCAGATTATAAATAAGTGCCTTATTTAATTTAAAAAGAAAAAGGTACATTCTTGTGAAAGAATAGATACAAAACAAAAATTTTTGTTTTTCCTGGATTTCTTCTACCGTTGAAAAATAGCTAAAGGCCTGGAAATCTGTGTGAATTTTTTTTTTGAGACAGAGTCTCACTCTGTGGCCCAGGCTAGAGTGCTGTGGCATCAGCTTAGCTCACAGCAACCTCAAACTCCTGGGCTCAAGCGATCCTCCTGCCTCAGCCTCCCGAGTAGCTGGTACTACAGGCATGTGCCAC